GGTTATTTTGTGACAGGAGTCATACTGAGAGAGAAATTTATACATTTGTGACAGAAAAATGCATCAAAAAAATTCAATGGGGTTTGGATGGCACCTGGTGGCTGTTTGTGGTATAACGCCTAAACAAAATTGAATAGTAACCTCGATTTGTTTTATAGCAACTTCAAATTTGGAACACAACTTATTTAAACATATGGCTTTAATTTTATGCCGAAATTGGATTAAAACCTATTTTGTAAAATATTTATTTTATATAAAATAAAATAAAATAAAACTAGTACAGTACATTTTCTTTACAGTAAATTAACTGCTATAAAAAAAATTAACTTTATAGGTTATATATTAACAGTTATAGGTCTGCGGTTACCAGGCAAACGCTTATAGATCTGCGGTTACCGGGGAAACGGTTACAGGTCCGCGGTTACCGGGGAAACGGTTACAGGTCCGCGGTTACCGGGGAAACGGTTACAGGTCTGCTGTTACGAAAGCGCCTCCTGCTGGCAGAGAATGAATGTGCATTTTCAATAAGCCTGTTGTGAGTAGGGTATTCCTGCAATACTGGAGGCTGTAGTTTCAGGACCACATTTCTAGGACCCTACAGTTTTTTTATTTATTATTTTATTTATTTATTTTTTGTATGTATGTATCAGCGGCTCATACTATTTTATAGCACTTGCTATTCAATTCTGTATATTATTATTTTTAAGGAATTTAGTAGTTGTTTAATTGTATAAATGAATTAATAATAAAACATACCCGTTGGTAACCCTCTTGAAATATTTAACCTAATTTATTTAAATATATTCTATAAATTCTGGTTTTAAATTCAGTTTAATTTCTGGACGAAAACCATAAATATTGAATTGGGGTGGGGGTTATTATGAATGCATTTTCTGAGGAGAACTGTCTTCAGAAAAGTTTTGTTTTAAGAGTTTCTTACTATGAAGGGCCACACAAGCCACAATTCATTCATTCAGTGTGCTGCTGGATGTTGTAAATTAGTATTTGTATTCAAATTATTTTACATTTATTAAAGTACTAATAATAACACTAATTTGTACCGCAATCGTTTCACTGCACTTTAAGTGGGTCCCACATCAGACGTGAAGCTGCGCTGCGGCTAATGAACTGAAGTCGTGCATATAACCTCGCAAACACAGTCTTTCTTTCCAAGAAATCTTAATTTAAAACCAGAATTTATAGAATATATTTAAATAAATTAGGTTAAATATTTCAAGAGGCTTACCAACGGGTATGTTTTATTATTAATTCATTTATACAATTAAACAACTACTAAATTCCTTAAAAATAATAATATACAGAATTGAATAGCCGTTTCCTTTTTTTCCTATCACGTTTTAGTAATCATCATATATTATATATCACTTGAAAGCTTAAAATCTCAAAATTCATCCTGTGAAAACCGTTTTGAAATCAGACATTGCGTTACCATAGAAATGGACCTTAAAATAATTTTAGTGCGAGGTGTCATATTCCAAATGTATCACGGTCTTTTAGAACCAAAACGTTTTAGAATCTTGACAAAATACATATCATCGGAAAGGTCTGAGTCTCAAGATTCCATATCTGTGGTTATTTTGTGACAGGAGTCATACTGAGAGAGAAATTTATACATTTGTGACAGAAAAATGCATCAAAAAAATTCAATGGGGTTTGGATGGCACCTGGTGGCTGTTTGTGGTATAACGCCTAAATAAAATTGAATAGTAACCTCGATTTGTTTTATAGCAACTTCAAATTTGGAACACAACTTATTTAAACATATGGCTTTAATTTTATGCCGAAATTGGATTAAAACCTATTTTGTAAAATATTTATTTTATATAAAATAAAATAAAATAAAACTAGTACAGTACATTTTCTTTACAGTAAATTAACTGCTATAAAAAAAATTAACTTTATAGGTTATATATTAACAGTTATAGGTCTGCGGTTACCAGGCAAACGCTTATAGATCTGCGGTTACCGGGGAAACGGTTACAGGTCCGCGGTTACCGGGGAAACGGTTACAGGTCCGCGGTTACCGGGGAAACGGTTACAGGTCTGCTGTTACGAAAGCGCCTCCTGCTGGCAGAGAATGAATGTGCATTTTCAATAAGCCTGTTGTGAGTAGGGTATTCCTGCAATACTGGAGGCTGTAGTTTCAGGACCACATTTCTAGGACCCTACAGTTTTTTTATTTATTATTTTATTTATTTATTTTTTGTATGTATGTATCAGCGGCTCATACTATTTTATAGCACTTGCTATTCAATTCTGTATATTATTATTTTTAAGGAATTTAGTAGTTGTTTAATTGTATAAATGAATTAATAATAAAACATACCCGTTGGTAACCCTCTTGAAATATTTAACCTAATTTATTTAAATATATTCTATAAATTCTGGTTTTAAATTCAGTTTAATTTCTGGACGAAAACCATAAATATTGAATTGGGGTGGGGGTTATTATGAATGCATTTTCTGAGGAGAACTGTCTTCAGAAAAGTTTTGTTTTAAGAGTTTCTTACTATGAAGGGCCACACAAGCCACAATTCATTCATTCAGTGTGCTGCTGGATGTTGTAAATTAGTATTTGTATTCAAATTATTTTACATTTATTAAAGTACTAATAATAACACTAATTTGTACCGCAATCGTTTCACTGCACTTTAAGTGGGTCCCACATCAGACGTGAAGCTGCGCTGCGGCTAATGAACTGAAGTCGTGCATATAACCTCGCAAACACAGTCTTTCTTTCCAAGAAATCTTAATTTAAAACCAGAATTTATAGAATATATTTAAATAAATTAGGTTAAATATTTCAAGAGGGTTACCAACGGGTATGTTTTATTATTAATTAATTTATACAATTAAACAACTACTAAATTCCTTAAAATAATAATATACAGAATTGAATAGCAAGTGCTATAAAATAGTATGAGCCGCTGATACATACATACAAAAAATAAATAAATAAAATAATAAATAAAAAAACTGTAGGGTCCTAGAAATGTGGTCCTGAAACTACAGCCTCCAGTATTGCAGGAATACCCTACTCACAACAGGCTTATTGAAAATGCACATTCATTCTCTGCCAGCAGGAGGCGCTTTCGTAACAGCAGACCTGTAACCGTTTCCCCGGTAACCGCGACCCTACAGTTTTTTTATTTATTATTTTATTTATTTATTTTTTGTATGTATGTATCAGCGGCTCATACTATTTTATAGCACTTGCTATTCAATTCTGTATATTATTATTTTTAAGGAATTTAGTAGTTGTTTAATTGTATAAATGAATTAATAATAAAACATACCCGTTGGAAACCCTCTTGAAATATTTAACCTAATTTATTTAAATATATTCTATAAATTCTGGTTTTAAATTCAGTTTAATTTCTGGACGAAAACCATAAATATTGAATTGGGGTGGGGGTTATTATGAATGCATTTTCTGAGGAGAACTGTCTTCAGAAAAGTTTTGTTTTAAGAGTTTCTTACTATGAAGGGCCACACAAGACAATTCATTCTGGCGCTCTAACACTATTCTCTTTTCACATACATACATTTCAGGGTTGCTGCAGGATTTTTAAACTCAAATTTAAGAAGTTTTTACATTAATTTAAAAATGCACTAAACAAATATACGCTATAATGTTTTCGTTATGTAAAATAATTCTGTTTTTCATATATTATTTTCAGACGTGAGCAGACCTGTACTCGAGGGGTGTCAGCAATTTATTCTATTTAGCTGTGCAAAACAGTTCAGTGTGCTGCTGGATGTTGTAAATTAGTATTTGTATTCAAAT